ATATATATACATAATAGTTAACATTATAGTTGTAAGACCGCAACTAGAACTTAAAGAATTAAAGACTGTATTCACTAAGTAAAATAGCCCGCCCCCCACCCCAGTGGCGCAGCGGTATGTCTGCGGAATTACAACGCTAGAAACCGGATTTCGATACCCGTGGTGGGCAGAGCACAGATAGCCCTTGTGTAGCTTTGTGCATAATTATAAACAAACAAGTAAACAAACACTAAGTAAAAACATTCTTAGTTTCGAAGTGTAATTACATCACAAAAATGTTTGTACCTTCTTATATGTGCTGGAAGTTTATCTGTATTTCTCTAGAAAACTGGCTGAGTTGGAACAGAAAGGTTTATAATTTAAACGACACTTACCATGAGGCAAGCTTAAACTTTATTATGTGTCATACTCAATGATTTTATCATACTGATTGGCCATTTTATTAGAACCCCCAAATGCATTTGTACAACTGGACATATATTAGCATATTTAAAAGTCAACTGATAAATTACTCAAATAGTGGTCAGGATTCAATTATCTTTATAGCTGTACCATTTAAAATACTTTGTAAAACTGCCATATGACAGAAAACGAGTCTGAAAGCCACCTATCTCAAATGCAAACACAGCTTCAGTGATGCTTTGTCCTCAGATGGTGGACAATAAATGACTGGAAACAAGCAATATGATCTAATAGTACGCGTTTCAAGCTCTTACTTTACAAATGACTAGCAAAAGCAACGTGGTCTGATTGGTTGCATTTCAGTGTATGAATTTATAAAACTGTGTAAATTAATTGACTGTAAAAAGCAATGTGGTTTGATGGGTTGCGTATAAAGATCTTAATTTCGAAAACTGTGGACAGTTAATTTCTAGAAGCTAGCAATGTGGTCTGATGGGCTGTATTTCAATCTCCCCCTTTCTTCATAAAACTGTGGTCACTAAATGGCTGGAAACAAGTAATGTGGTCTGATGGGTTGCGTTTCAGTTTCTTAAGTTTTTGAAAACTGTTTACAATAAATGACTGGTAACCAGTGAAGTGATCTGATGGGTTGGGTTTCAGTCCCTTACTTTTTAGAACTGTGTACAATAAATGGCTGTAAACTAGCAGTCCTGTATGGTGGATTAAATTTAAGTCTCTTACTTTCTAAAAATGTAAACAGCTGGAAATTTGCAGAGTTGTCTGATTAGTTGCGTTTCAACATCTTACAATCTAAATCTGTGGATAATGAATAACTGGTTATTAGTGAATCAGTCTGGCAGATTGCATTTCATTCTCTTCCGTGCTAAAAATGTGAACAATAAACAGGTGGAAACCAGTAGTGGGTGGCGATTTAACCTCTTATTTTCTAAAACCGTGGACAATAAATGGCTGAAACCAGCAATGTGGTCTTGTACTTTCTAAAACTCGGGATGATAAACTAAGAAACTAGTGAATTGGTTTGACGGATCATGTTTTAATATCTTCTGTGATAAAACTATGAACAATAAAAACATGGAAACCAGCAATTTGATCTGATGGGTCGGGTTTCAATCTATTATTTTCTAAGACTGTAGAAATAAATGACTGGTAACTAGAAGTGTGTCTGATAGGTTTTGGGTAGTTCAATTACATAATTTTGTATGTATGAATAAATATTTTGTTCATCTATCTTTTTGCATTACTTTTGCTATCTATGTTTGTTTTATTTTCTGCAACACATTTGTGGATTCTTAACGCTTATCTGTTATCACTTAAATACTACACAAGTAACAATTCTGTTTAAGGACCTTTTGTGCATGGTGTCGCTTCTGACCCCTTATCACTGTTAATGTTCTCCTCACAATTTTAATTTTTACTGTTTTTCTTATCCATAACAAACAACACGAGCAATGGAAGGGAAATACCCTTTTTCAGAGCTATAGATAGTTCTCACTGATGTCAACATCCGGATCAACATTCATGTCTTACATCTTATAGGTGTGATATTAAACCGTCAGGCATTATCCCACATAGTGGTACAATACAAAGTCGAGCCAATTTACGCATAAGATCGCAAGTTTGCTCATGAAGTTTCAACCGACAAGAGTTTGCCAACACTCGTCACAAAACTCGGAAGGCAAAGCCTTTTCAGCTTATTTGTCAGAACACCTGGTCATTATTAACAGTTGAATTTCATTATTATTTTCCAAAGGATATTCATCTACCAATCTCAGCTGTCTTAGTTTTGTACTTCGATAATTTGTGCAGTTTTCTCCGACGAAATTTCAGTGAACTAATAGATCAAGTGATTATTGTAAAACGTCAGACCAACTGTTGCGTCAGCGAGGTCACGTGACTAGTATCACGCCACGTCGTTCTAGAACATTCACGTCGTTTCCTTAAATCTCGTGATCCTTCTAGATATAGTGTAGTCTTGTATATATAAGACCGGCCACGAAGCTACGGGGAGGTAATGAGTAATTGAATGTATGCGGACAGAATATTGTTGAGACGTGAGTTATAGCGTTTGTTATAGAGCGACTGTTGAAATTAAGTGTATCGTAAAGTTGTATTCGGAAAGGATAAACCAGTTTTACTAATAAAGGACTTGTGCCGCTAAAGTTTCGTCGGAACGAATTTACGGAAAATTAACGAACGAACGGAGACGTAACAAATTGGTGTCAGAGAGTGGGACAGAAAAAAAATGGAAACGAGAGGCAGAAAATCAAACTACAGCTTAGCAGACTTGATGGCAGCAACACAAGAGCAGCAAAAGAAACAAGAAGAACGATAAGAGAAATTACAGCAGTGGTTGGAGGAAAAAGAAAAGAAACAAGAAGAATGAGAAAAGGTCATGGATGGTCTAATTAAGGAAGGGATAGTTGAGAAATCAGATAGTCCCTGGTCAGCTCCCATTGTATTAGTACAGAAGAAGGATGGGACCCAATGTTGCTGTGCAGACTTCAGGGCTCTTAACAGCATAACCGAAAAAGACTCATACCCACTGCCAAGAATTGATGATACTCTTGATGCCCTAAGTGGAGCCAGGTGGTTTTCAACTCTCGACTTAAAGTCAGGTTTCCATCAAGTAAAAATGGCTGAAGCAGATAGACCCAAGACAGCATTTAGTTATGGCCAAGGTCTCTGGCAATACCGAGCGATGCCATTCGGGCTTAGCAATGCAACATTTGAGAGGCTGGTGGAACGAGTATTGGAAGGCCTACAATGGAGGATAGCCCTCGTGTGTCTGGACAATGTCATTGTATTTGCAACACCTTTTGATGAGGAAATGTCTCGGCTAGAGGAAGTATT